TATCCGTGAGGACTGCTTGCCCTGCCTTAAGATAAGGTGGGTTATTGTCCGATTAGCAAAGAATATGCTAGGAATCTTGCCTCTGAACTCCCTGGTTTTAAAATGGAATCTTAGCCTTAAGATGGAGCCCCTCCTGTTCTTTCTCTACTGTTTATATCTGGGCATTTTTCATCATAGGCAAGAAAAGTTAACCCTGGTGCCTGTCCCAGGTCCCTGCCCTGCTGCAGTAGGAAGCACATTCTAGTCGCTAGCAGCCCACAGAAGCATGGCCCAAGAACACATTCCTGAAGGTCAGCAGCCGCTGGTCAGTAGGAGAAGACTCCTCAACAGCCGCTTCCTCTCTCCATGACCACTGTGTCCTGGCAAACAGGATGTCAGGCCACCGTCCCTGCCTGCCAGGGAGCTAGTGATGTGCATCTCCGTGGCAAGCTCCCGTGGCTTTATGCATACCCAGGGCTGCCAGCCCAGCTTCGGGCAGAGGGGCCTCTCGCCTTTGCCGAACACAGGAACACGTTTCTTACGGCACTCCTCTGGCTCTGACCACACCAGCCCCTGGAAACATTGTGCGTTCCTCATTTTTCCTTGCAGAGTCACACAGTGCGGTAGGTGACAGGGCAGCAGACCCTTGGTGATGGCAGGCACAGGGGCCTGGACAGTGTGGGAGGCCTCGAGGACAGGCCAGGGTGCCGTGCAGAGGCCGGGGGCAGGCCTCCCCCACCCCGAGCCCCACTGCTTTGGACAGAGTCCCTCTGAGAAAAGTCCATGCAGACTGCTTGGGATGATGGAGAAGGCCCAAGCTGCCTGGCTTCCTCAGCTGGGACGTGAGTCACATGGACACCTGGTGGTCCCAGCCCCAGGGCACCAGCTCACCTGTCCTTTCCTCCTGGCCCTGTTTAATGCACCTAGGTGTGGCCCCTTGGCAGCCTGGCCACCTGCAAAGGAAGGAGAAGTGGGTGGAGCCTTTTACCTGATCACCTGGTGTGGGAGCAGCTGGGGTGCTGGCGGGCTGCCTGTCACCTCCCTTCACCACTTCCCGGGACAGGTCCAGTGCATCTCTGCGTGGCGTGTGTGATTCTAGGGGCAGATGGGCACAAGACACGTTGGACTTTCAATGGTTAATAAAAGTCCGACTATTTAGGATTTATATTTATATAGGAATATTTCTGTGGAGCTCAGTGCACACAGGGAAATGGGAAGATGCTCCTCGCTGGCTGGTGGGCCGGGGGTCTTTCTCTGAAGCCAGGATTCAGTTGTGTGACTGGCCTGGAGGCAGCCTCAGAGGTCAGACCAGTATCTTTGGAGAGAAAAGGTGAGGGCAGCATCCCAGCGTCCTTCTTTGTGCATTTGCCCCCGTGAGTAAGTAGCGCGTCAGGACGGGGTCGCCCTGACTCCAGAGAAACCCACTGTGAATTCATGGCACCCTGGCTGGCGGGGTCCTTGTGTGCGTGTGACCCTAGGTGTCCCTGGGTTCCCGAGAGGCTGTGGCCCTCGGGGCACCCCAGGGGGCACAGGGCACTTTGGGCTCCAGGCAGCCTGGCATCTAACGAGCCCAGGACTCAGCCACAAGTACTGTGCGGTCCCGGCCCAGGGGTGGGGTTCTGGGTAGCACTGTACGCAGGCCCGGCCTTGGGCCCGGTGGCTTTTATGTGCCTCATCGGGCCTGGGTGCTCGCAGTCCTGCTGACCGAGCACTGCTGACCACCAGGACCCACGAGGGGCGCCGGGAGCAGGGCAGGGGCCAGCACTCTGGGGGACAGCAGCCCTCTGCTGGGTCGGGGCTGAGTCCCTGTCTCTGGTAGCTGTTTGTCCCTGGAGCGGGGTTTTATTTCAGTTTACTTTTTATCATGAAAGTCTCGTTGGGCCACTGGAAGATTGGTAATTCAGTTCCAAAGCAGAGTCAAAGAGTCTGAATTCTAAGGTTCTAATTTTTTATTCTTATTCTGAGCTCAGTGTTGGCTTGAAAGTCAGTTCAACATTAAACTCTGGTTAGAGTAACATTATCTGTTATTATTGGTTTATTTTTCCTTAGGAAACTAGATAGTACACATCTTATATGTTATTCATAGTAGCTTCAGTTGCAAAAATAGTTTCTCCATCTCTCTCCCCCATAGAATAGTCTTGGCCTTCACACGTGTGAGTGAGGTACTTACTCCAAACAACTGGATTTTACCTAACTTAAGGTTTGCGTCTCTTAGAGTCCCGTGTTTCACAGCCTGAAGCGCACAGGCCGTGACCCACGCTGACTGCATGGGGGTGGAGGAGCCTTGCCTCAGAGAGCCCGCCCAGGGCAGTTTCCCATGCCTCCATCGTGCCTCGGGAGCAGACAAGGCCCGCAGGCAGAGACGGGCAGGCCTGAAACGTCTGGTGCGCTGTGGACAAGCCGTCAGACTCCGGTGTGCTCTTCGCGCCTTTTGTTTTAGGGGTTTAGGACACATCCGGGTCCTCTGTAGGTGCGGCGTGGCCTGGAACCCCGGGAAGGAGGTGGGGGTGGTGGCGCTGCCGCAGGCACGCCCGGGGCCACAGTGGCCCTGTGACTGCTGCTTTCATTAGAGTGCCAGGACAACGTTGTTTATCTGGGAGTTTTGTCATCCTGTGAATTTTAATCACAAGTATCTATGTTGTTGTTTCCAGTCTTTTTGTGATGATAATTGAAAGATCTGGCTTTCCTTCTGGCTTCTGGCTGAAAGTAAATATTGTAGGACTATATTAAGTGAGTTTCTGCCTCATTTACACATTAAATGAACACTTGGCTGTTGAAAGGGAACTCGGGGCTGTAGGTAGGGAGTTTTGGGGTGTGGGTAACACCATATACATAATTGTGAGATCTGTTGTTCAAGTACCATGTGTTGGTTTCCTGGCCTGAGCACCACCAGGCAGCCCTCTGTTTTCTTGGGGCAGTGGGTGGTTTAGGAAAAGCTGGACAGCCTCCCTGCAAACTCCCCAGGCCACCAAGGGGCTGGGGCCACAGCGCTGAGGACCCCCTCACTCGCACTGGCTGTCCCTGCCTGTGTCCCTTGTCCCCTGAGCCTGCCCCTCCCCCCTTGAGCTGCTGCACTTCCTCTGTTCTAACCTGCTGCTCTGAGAGAAGTGCTCTCCTACAGAGCCCTTGAGGGGCACAGGGGGCAGGGGAGAGACCGGCTGGGACCCCCTCGGGGCAGGTGTGCTCAGGCTGAGCCCCATGCTGGGAGCCAGCTGGGGGAGCGGGGAGGCCCGCCCTTCCTCTGCTGCGAGGCCCACCTCCGCAGATGGTTGTGAGTCACCATCAGTCACTCGTGCTGGTGCCGGAGTCCCCTGCCTGTGGGAAAGGGCATTTCAGGCCTTCTGTTCCTCATCTAGACGGTTGGTCCCTTACACTTGCGGGAAGCATGTTGTATGTTGTATTTCCTCCGTGGGAAGTGCAGGGACCACTTGGGATGCCAGCATCCCACTGGCCCTTCTCCTTCCACACCGGGAGCAGAACAGGTCTGCCCCCACCTCATAGGGGACCCCAAAGAGTTAAGCCAGGATGAGGGGAGTAGTGAGGGCAGGAGACCAAGGCCCATGGGCCAAGATGGAAAAGTGGGGGACCTTGCTGTGGGGAGACAGCTGGGAGGACCAGGAGGAGCCCGGCTGCTGTCCCAGGCGCTGGGGGTGGTGCACTCACAGAGGCCCTCAAGTCCTCAAGAGATGGACGGTAGGTAGCGTGTGTAGCCTCGCAGGCAAGTCGGTGCAGCCAGAGCCCTGGGAGGAGAGCGAGCTCCAGGGGAGACAGATAGAGACTGAGCCAGCACACAGAGCTCCCCGCTCGGGGAAGGCAGGGCACGAGCAGCCTGGTGGATTCCTGGAGTTTGTGGCCCCAGCCGGCTGGTGTTTGGAGAGAGAGCTTGGGCCCCGTAGGCCAGCTGCACCGCTGTGTGTTCCTCCTCGCCTTTCCCGACACAGTAAGCGAAAGTGGGGTCTGATCACCAGTGACGAGGAACATTTTTTTCCCATTTATAGCCCCTTATGAGAACCTCTTATTGTCACCTTCTTAGGGGCTACTTGCCATATTCTTACTAATTTATAACAGCCACGTAGGCATGGAGTTATCTGTATACCATAAATACTGCAACGGGTTTCCCCATTCATCTTTTGCATTTTAATTTTATTTTTGGTATTTGTTATAAGACAATTTTATGGAGTCAATGACATCATTTTTGGAGATACACTCAACAGCGCTGAGAACTTGAGCACCCTGTTCAGGCAGGGCATCTGTAGCCATCGCCCACATGAGTGCCGCCTCCTCCCCGCCATCTCATCGCCCTGCCCGCCCCGAGAGGTGGCCTTTGACTATCACCCCAACTTAGGGCTCCTGCAGCAGGACTTCCAGGGAAGAGACTGAGCACTGACACCCTCCTGGGCCCTCCCTGCACGCCCCCACTGGACCCAGCAGGCTTGCTCTGGGGCCTTGCTGTCCGTCGGGTCTTCCTGTGTACCTACAGTTTATTCTTTTCCTTGCTGGGCAGTTTGTGGCACGTGAACCCCACAATCTGTCCGTGTGTTCCCTCTGAGGAATGTGGGGGCCCATCTGGCCTGTTGTGAGCAACGCTGCCATGCACGTTCTCCCACGGGGCTTTTCGTGGGAGTTTCCACATCTCCTGGGTAAGTCCGGGGAGTGGGATCACCGGGTCTCGGGGCAGAGTGTCCTCAGCTCTGTAAGAAGTGCCCAGCAGCTTGCCGGAGTGGCCATACCATTTCATGCTCTTGTGTCATTCTCAAAAAGTCATCCCAACATGTGGGGTTTCATAAATCTTCATGTAAATTTTCTTCTAGCAATTCAGTGGTTTTATTTTCATCTCTGCCACTCAGAAGGCCAGGAGCCGCCTGGGCCCCTAGTGGCCCTCATTCACATGTGGGCTTACCAGCAGTGCCAGCTGCACCGAGAGCCACACGCCCACAGGACACTGGCTCCATCTCCTTGTGTGCGTGTCAGCCGGGTGCTGGCGCAGCACTCTGACGTCTGTCTCCCCTCCCTGCTCACAGCACCAGCAGGAGCTGCTGGCCATGAAGCACCAGCAGGAGCTCCTGGAGCATCAGCGGAAGCTGGAGAGGCACCGCCAGGAGCAGGAGCTGGAGAAGCAGCACCGGGAGCAGAAGCTGCAGCAGCTGAAGAACAAGGAGAAGGGCAAAGAAAGTGAGTGCGGGGAGCGCGGGGGGTGCCGCGGGGCCCCAGACCCCCTGCCCCGCCGGGCGGTGGTGCTTCCGGAGGCCTTGGCCTTAGAGGCAAGCGGTAGGTAGTCCACTTTCTTCACCTGGGGGCTGCAAGGGGCATTTGGCACTTGGTGTGATGGAAGCATGTTGAAAGCTATTGGTCAGGCTCCTAACAGACTTAAGAAAGAAGCGATGAAGTGTGCCAGAGGCAAAGAGGTTGCCACTGTGAGTTCTGTCCTAAATGTTGCCAAGTTCTTTTCCTTTGAGAGCATTTTGGGAGTGCCTTAAAACCAGGTCCATCTGCGGGGACACAGGATGACCCAGGGCTCGATTTCCACATTTGCTCTTTTGACTGGAAGTTTTGCTTTTCATAGCAATGTGCTTGTATGTCTGGAGACCTATACGGTCTGTTACCTTCCAGGAAGTGCCCAGACTTGATCTCAGCCAGGAGACGACCCCTGGGGAAGGTCTGGGGGGCCGCCCTGTGCGAGTTGGGGTTGAGCCACAGCACCTGCTGGCTGCCCAGCTGCTGGCACAGGGCGCCCCGGCTCGCGCACACTGAGGACAGTCTGTTCCACCGTGACCGGTGCACAGGCCTGTGTGCCCTCGCAGGGCGTGCGCCCCCCCGGCTGTGGCTGCGGGGCATGCCCCTCATGTGCTGGTGCTTCTTTTTGGTGATACCTCGTTTCCAGGAGGCGCCGGGACCCAGGCAGCGGCATGTGGGCAGGGCCGCATCCCTGGGCCTCACTTCCCACTGGCCGCCAGTGCTCAGTTGAACTCATTTGTTCCCTGGAAATACTGAAAATAAGTCAAGATGTGCATTTCTCTCCTGTACCAGGATTTGGTGTCATGCTATAGGGCAACTTAGTCTTCTAACACTCATGAGTAAAAATAGATGTGTTTACACACCCCACTAACACACATAAACCTCAGACAACCTAAAAATCCTTTATCTTCAGCTACTGACAATGGTCAGCCATTAAATTTTAATCCATACGTGCACAACAGCACACAGTGTGTCTAAGCCTCCTTGCAAAGTAGGTTGGAAACTGTTTTAAGTCTTCTGTATGGCTTTTGGGTGCACATCCAGAAAAGTACCATTTTCTGTGTACACAGCCATCAGGGACCTGTCCGCAGCACACGCCCTGCGCAGCTGCCTCCAGGCCCCTGGGCCTCTACACACCGCTCCCCAAACAGCCACTCCCTGACGCCTAACTGGAAGAGTGATTGGCTGCCTTGGAAATTCACATAAGTGGAGCCATGGACTCATGGATGTCTGTTTGCCCCCTGCCCTTGGCGGTGTGCTCGTGAGGGCTGCCTTCGTTGCTGCCCAGGCCCTGCTGCCCCGTCCTTCCTGGGACCGCTCTCAGGCAGGTGGGAGTGACATGGCTGAACCTGGGCCAGCACATGTGCCACCTTCAGATGTGAAGCTGGTTTCCAGGGTAGTCATGCCAGTTGTCACCTCCCCTGCTCTGGTGGTGCCTGTGGCTCTGTCCCCCTCGGCACCACTTCCCGTGGCCTGTGCAGTCCCCCAGCTCTGTGCGGCTTTGGCCGCGTTCCTGTGGTCATCTTTGGCACCGTAGGCGCTCAGGTGTCCCCTGGCCGACTGGATTCTCCCTCTCTCTGAAGTGCTTGTCTGGCCTCTTCCCATTTCTCTGGCGACTTCTCTCCCTTTTGCTTGGCGTCCTTATGTTCTGGGGTCAGGACCTTCGTTGGTTTAATGAGCCCGAAGCGTTGTTCTCTCTGCCGTCTCCTCTCGGTGCCTCATAAACAACAGACAGTCTCGGTTCTTCAGCCTGATTTAATCAGTGTTTCTGAATTAGAATTAGGATCTAATCTGTGTTATGCTTATATTATTTTATACATTTTTATAAACATTTTCTTTTTCAAAAAGGATTTTTTCCTAAAAGTATGTAGCCAACGTGTTCTCTTCATCTTTGGTTTATTTCTCTATTTTGTAAGTTGTGAGTTCTTAGTAATAGGTTTTATAAAATTATCAGCTTTTGCAATCATTGGTTATTGCAGCATTTCCCTTGTGAAATAACAAATATACTTTAAACGTCTTTCACTTTAACTGTCTGATAGAGTTTCACTGTAGAAAATGCATCGGTAGAGTTTATATGCCACGTGAGACCTAATTTTTGTGTGAATATTTGACAGTGGTCAGTAAATCTGAATGGCGTACTTGCTGTGTCACCTCGGTCGGATGAGACGATGACTTACAGGCACAGCGAGGACCGAGCGTCGCGACGCTGGAAATGAGGACAGGAGCGGGTCAGGCTGGCTGGCACACCTGTGGTCTTGGAACACGGAGTAGGGTTCCTGCGGCGGGCCAGTGCGCAGACAGCCCGTCCGCAGCTTCGAGCGTGCTGGCACCTTTGTGTGAGGGACCCTCCCAGCTGGGGGTGCAGTGGGCAGCGCCAGGAAGATTGCCCAGGTGTCCTGCTGCACCGACCCAGAGTGGGGGCAGGTGTCAGCAGCTTCATTCCTAGTCCCCTGGGTGAGCCTGTGTGCAGCCACGGTTGAAAGGCGTGAGTCTCGGAATCCTCCTGCTCTGTGTTAGGAATCAGGGTGTCACGGAGGCTCTGTGGCCTGCCACATGTGGCCTGTCATTTGAGTGCTCCTTCCACCGTGGAAAGCGGCCTGGTCCTCACGGGAGCCCTGGGGGAGGAGCTTCTGCTGCGGGCGGGTGTGCACGCTGAGCCTGCACGCAGGGCACGGGCCGCAGCCCAGGTCCTCCCTGCCCACCCTTCTGGCTTGGCTCCTACCCTACCGTGCATCCTACTTAGGTTTTTCCTTTGGAGAAGGGAGATCGTTGTTGATCAGAGGATGAACTTTAAATTGCAAGCATCAGTTAATTGATGTGTGCCCCCACTAGCCAACAAATACCAGGTTTTCAGATTGCTAAAAAGCAGCTTAGTCCAAATTAGTTCCTCATAGTTTACCAGAAACTTCCAGTAAAAATGACATCTTAAGCCTCACAAAACAGGAAAAGATTTGACTTTAGGAGACATTTTAGACCTGTTTGTAAGTCAAAAACAGTTTCTGCTCTACCTGCAAAACATCACCCTCTTTAACGGGAGCGCCGGAATGTTCTCTGCCCCCTCTGAGCTTGTCGACAGCAGCAGCCCTGGTGGTTTTCAGTTTGTGGATTTGGGAGGCCAGGTTTTATTGCTAGGCATAAACTGTGTGCAGTCCAGGCATTCGGCTCATGTCAGCTTTGCACCCCTCAGAGTGTGGTCTTGTGAGCGGGCATGCCTCTGCGGTGGACGCCCTCAGTTAAGCTGGCCACACCAGTGCCCTCACCTATGAAGGGGACTGTTGTTTCCGCAGCTTAAAGAGCGTCTGTGCGGAAAATGCAAAGGGCATGAAGCAGCTCCAGGTTTTAAGCATTTGAAAATGTAGTGCAGAGCATCTGTTGTTTAGTTTCTTAGTTTTTTTTTTTTAATGAATTTCTTATTGAATATTTAATTTAAAGTTTTGTCACTCTTGTAAACATTTACAGTACTTTTAATTTTTAAAAATTCTGCAGTTTTCTTTTATTTGTTGATACCAATTAATGCTGTTAATTTGATGGAACAGGGATTTCTTGGAATTTGTGGCAGTTGTCCAACTTGTTCAGCACAAACACAGGATCTTTACTCAGCTAAGTTTTAATTTAGATTAACTACATTTAAGAAGCTAAGATATGCTGTCTTTTAACATAAATTCGAAGGAAAACTCCAACAGAAGCCAGCTTGCCCGCTGAGCAGTTCAGCACTGATGTGGCTCCATTTGCCCCACTGCAGTGTGCCAGCACAGCCCAGCGGGAGCAAGGTGCCATCGTCTGAGGAACATTGCTCTGCTCACTTTGTTGAAAAAATTGTGCAACAGGCTGGTGCTAAAAGATGGGACAGCTGATCCTGGGAGTAATTCTCTGGTCCATCTGTGAGGTCGGTCTTCCTCAGAGGCAGGTGGGGTTGCCCCAGGCAGGAGCCACGCTGGACACAGCCCCTCGCCTCTGCCTGCCGCAGGGCCCCCTCCCGCCCGGCTCCTGGGCACTTACTCGCCTGTTCCCCAGGTCTCTGTCGCCGTGCAGAGATGTGTCCCCAGCAGCTGGGTCTGTGCCAGAACACACCAACGTCTCTGGGAACCTCATCAAAGGAGGGAAGGATAAGCACTATGAGATAACTTTTTTTTTTTGTTTGTTTGTTTAGTAAAACTCAGACACTTGTTATTTGCTAATTGAATGTGGTATTGATTGTGGAACTTTCATTTTAACTGGGAACCTCTGTTGAGAGATGACTGTGTGCCTAGGATGGTGATCAGGGCCAGCATCTCCCCTTTCGCATTCGCTCTTGGGAAGGGCGGAGAGGGGGGCTTGCCGTGCACCTGCCGCTCGGCGCAGTCTGGGTTTGCTCCAGGCCAGACCCGCGTGGGGAGGGCGCTCACTGCCCCCCGTGGGGAGGGACCCAGGAAACCAGCCCCCAGCTGACGGTGGCCGGAGGAGGGCTGGCCAGGGTCCACTCTGTGACCGTGCCACGTAGACTTGGTCTGACATGTCAGGGAGGCACTGTGGGATTCGTTTAACTCATTAAGATCAGAAAGGAACTTTCAAGGTTATTTATGGACGAAGAAGTCTGGATTCGAAAGTCGGGCTTATTTTCCTTTGATTCCTTAAGAGCCTAGCATGTGTCTTCTCCCATCCTTGAGGTGGCCGAGGGGCCATTGTCCACGGCCACCCTGGGGATCCCTCAGCCTACAGACACACCTCCTGTGAGGACACTGCAGGCGGCTCAGGGCGCAAGGCCCTCTCTGCATCCCAGGCTGGCAGGTGCCTCGGAGGACCACAGCCTGGCTAGAAGAGAGGCCAGTGTTTCTCCTGGGCAGGCAGGTGTCCCCCTGGGGCAGGCAGCTTCCCTTTGCCCTGTCTTGCTGTCCCTGCCTGTCACTGGTCATCACCTGCCCTCTCTGCTGGGGCCCAGCTTTTGTTCTTTGACCTTCTCAGGGTTCGGGAGCCCAGGGTGGGGCCAAGGCGGCGGGAGGCGGAGGCTCCCTGAGCGCAGTCACGTGGCTCCTTCCATTCCCAGGGTGCTTACAGGCAAGGACCCCGCCTCCCTCTGTGGGGAAAGTGGATGCGCAGCAGCGGGCCTCCTTGAGAAGGCGAGGCTGGCGCACACCAGGTCCCGTCGGCTGGGACCGTCGAGCGTCCTTCTGCACACAAGAGCTCTGCCTTCCGCCCTCCCCTCCAGGGGTGGCCATTGGAACACGAGGCTCCTTGTCTCCAACTGGCCTTCTGGGTCCTCCTCCTCCTCCTCAGCATCCTTCTGTTTGGCTGCTTTCTGGTTCTGCCAGCGGCAGAAGAGGATAAATCTGAGCTCCCTGCTCCACCTTTGGGTGTTAATTGGTGAGGTGGAGCTTGCTGTGCACCTGCAGGCAGAGGAGCCTGGGCCCCTGTTTCCCCTTACTCCCTGTTGGGGACGCTGTGTATGGAAACGCTCAGCCCTGGTACACCTGGCCAGCCACCTGGCTCCACAGGCTGTTAGGGATGCCAGGTGACTGTGTGTCTGCACATGCTACAAGCAGGTGTCAGTGTCTGTGCACGTGTGGTTTTCAGACAAGTCCACTTACAGAAAGACAGCCAGGCTGCAGCGTGCAGAAGTCCTATTCAAGTCTATCCCCAGGTACGCTGGGGCCCCAAGGAGCCTTGCCCAGAAGCACAGGCGCGCTTACAGCCTTGCTCACTCCCCACGGCCTGGTCTGGCTGTGCCTTCCTGCAGCCTCTGCTTCTCAGCTCTGTAGGCCCTGCATGCGCAACGGACCCGACAGGGTGCTGGTGTGGGTGGGCCTCCTTTCCTGGGTGTCGATGGCCATATTCCCTCAGCCCCCAGGAGGCCTGAATCCCCTGTCCTGGTGGGCCCTTCCGTGCGCGCTCTGGGGTGGGCTTAGTGGATGCGCTGGTCCCATCCAGGTACTGCCACAGCCCCAGAGAACCCGGTTTCCAAGGGCTCTGTAGCTGCCTGACCCTTGTCCACGACACATGGAAGGTTCATCATGGCTTACCTGCAGTGGGATGCCGCCTTCAAGAACCCAGACCTATTTACAGCTAGACAAAGATTCAGTGACAACAGAATGTCTAGAACGTGATAAAGGCGGCAAAGGCATGGCTCTCTAACAGTGTCCACCATCTGTGAGCAGTTTGTCGAATCATCCATATATTCTCATATTCCAGAATCCACTTCATGTACATCAGAATGAAATGTGAGAAAGTAGTAACAGCCAACAGCCGCGGGAATGAGAGCCCACCACCAGAAAAACAGGTGACACGAAGCGCTTGCTCACCGAACCCGAGAGAGGAAGGTCACTGTCAGAGGTTACAGGAAAACCCCAGTCTCCCCCTCCTGTGCTCCCCTCTACTCCTACATGGACTCCAGGCCCACACAGCCCTCCCCTCTGCCACCGCGCGTGAGGGTCTCCCCACAGCCAGCCGCACAGGTGGGTGTCCCGCGGCCAGACCCTGCCCTGACAGCGTCTGCCTGGAGACGGGGTCCGAGGCGCACGCCCAGTCCCGCAGGCCTGCCCCTGCCCACTTCAGGGGCCCACGGCGAGTCCAGGCTGTCCCTGTGCTCTGGCCGCCCAGCTTCGGATCTGAAGCTCCCGCAAACCCCTCCTCGGGTTCCACAGACTTGTTGAATGGCTCACAGAACTCAGGGAAACACTTATTTATGCTTATCAGTTTATTAAGGGATATGATGAAGGTGCAGATGAATGGCCAGTGAAGAGATACCCGGGCTCAGGTCTGGGCAGGTCCCGAGCACAGGAGCATCTGTCCCCGTGGAGTTGGGGTGCATCACTCTCCCGGTATCTGGATGTGTTCACCATCGTGGAAGCTCTCTGAACCCCGTACTATTAGGATTTTCCGGAGGCTTCCTCCAGTAGGCATGATCAGTCATTAACTCCTTTTCCAGACCCTCTCCCCTCTCTGGAGAATGGGGGGTGGGGCTGAAAATTCCAAGCCTCTGGTCATGGCTTGGTCTTCCTGGTGACCAGCCCTGCCCAGGAGCCACACGGGAGCCCCCCCTGCAGTCACCCCCCAGAACAAAAGGGACCTGTGGTGCTCGTGTCCCTTAGGACATTACAGGGGTTTCGGGAGCTATACTCCAGGAATGGGGGCAGAGCCCAACATGTATATTCTATTATCACAAAATTGGGATTTAATCAAATCTTAAAAGGAAACGGAGCAGGGCAAATGCAGAAGTAGCGCAGCAGCGCCGGTGTGACCCCCCTGCAGCAGAACGGCCTCAGCGGGGGCTCCCCGAATCCCCCCTGCTCTCCTCTACCACTCAGGGTGACGGCTTCACTTACAGCGGCAATGTGGGGCTCAGGGTGCAGACCTAGCATGTAGGAGGCTCACGGTGGGCGTATCACTGTAAAAAGCCAGACAGCTCAAACGGATAAAGGTGAAACACAGACCTACAGCGCTGCCACCACACACTGTGCAGGAAGCCTTCAAAAGGAAAATAAGCCAAAGGGCATCTGGGTGTATCGCCAGAGGAAAAGGTACACATCCAGGTAGTTATCAAGGACCTGGCAGCAAGGTGCCAGCTTTCTCATTTGCAGCTGGTGGTAATCCTGATTACTGATAAAGACAAGGCTCAGGTGGTCATCCCCAGGACTGATGACCACATGGGTGCCCACCCTGGTGCATGGCTGATGGGGTGGCTCAGGGTGGTCAGTGCATAGAGGCATTTGGGAAGCAGTTTCGGAGATGCTGATGGGGGCGGGTGTTGTCGCACCACTTTTGTGACATGTAGTGAGGTTTTGCTGATCTCTCTAAGCAAACAATTCTAAATGTGAACAGTGATACCTACTCATAAATGTTCATTGCAGACTGGCTTCTAACAACAGTGGCATGATGCTCTGAAAGCATTCAGGAAGTGGTTGTACGAACTAACCTCCCCTCACCTTGCGGAGTGTTTTCCCACCTTAAAAATGCGGTTGGAATCCCTGTAACCAGGGGCAGGCAAGCCATCACCCAGCGGAAGGGCGAGTCCCCAGTGCTGTGCTGTCCGATCGCAGCTCTGAGAACAGACAGGTTGCTGACAGGGTCTTGCGCTAGCCTGGTGGGCTTGGACTTTGATCGGAGCGTGTCTCTCAAATATGCTAGGTGTCTTTGACGGGGCTGCGAATAACCACCAGCTCACAAGAAACCACAGAACACACGGCCCACTTCCCTCCAGGTCAGTGGGACGCACTCGCCTGAGGAAGGAGCTGCTAGGCTGGAAAGGGCAGACGCACCCCCGATACGATGGCAGATGGCACGCAGGCCTGGCTGGCCAGCTGCAAGCCTGCCCTGGAGGCGTGCCTCGCCCTCGTGCCCTGGCCTTGGGTGTGATGCCTCAGTCCGCACAAAACCTGCTCTCTGAGATGCCTCCCCCTTTGCTGTGGTGAGAGAGGAGCCACCAGGCTGCCTGGGCTTACCTCGGAGTGTTCTTTATGTAACGGTTTAAAAACCCTTCACAAGTGGGTTTTGTGTTAGGTAACAATAAGTCTTTATGCTGATTACTTCTGCATTTTAAATAGAATGCAATTATGTAAAAATCTTCATAGGAAGCAGACCTCTTATTAAAACTTCTCCTGTCCTCCTTCCTTTGAGAAAGCTTTCCTGGTGCCAGCAGCATCCTGAATCCGCATCCCACTGTCTCCCAGCCGCTCCTCCCTCTTCCAGTAGCGGAGCGCTCCCTCTGCCTCCCCAGGCCAGAGCCTCAGGCGCCCAGCCCTGTGCTTTCTCCCCTCCAGGCGCCGTGGCGAGCACCGAAGTGAAGATGAAGCTGCAGGAGTTTGTCCTCAACAAGAAGAAAGCGCTGGCGCACCGCAACCTGAACCACTGCATCTCCAGCGACCCCCGCTACTGGTACGGGTAAGTGAGGGTATGCAGGGTCACCCCAGGCTCCTCTGGGGGCCCGAGGGCACCCGCTGCTTCAAGTGGTGAGGCAGGGTGGGAGGCTGTGGAGTTAGAAACCCCTGAGCGTGGTAGCAAATGTGGGGATGACGGAAACAGGGGTCACCCACACGGACAGTGGGGCCTATCTTCAGTGACCAGTGTGTTTTGATCACCCAAGCTGAACATTGTGGAGTGAGCAGTCACGTTCATGTGCTGTGAGGACAAAATCTTTGTCAGAAAACGAGGGCTTTGCAGGCCTACAACAGCACTTTCACCCAGCCTCACGTCACACCCAACAACCAGCACAAATGTCATAAAGCTGAACGTGTAGCCAAAACAACAGGACGAGAAGAAACAGGTTTCACCACCTTGCAGGAATGGTGGACAGGCTTCCTAGGACACCAGAGTCACCAACTCATAAACCAAACACTCAATTAGACTTTTCAAAGTTAGAAACTTTGAAAGGTACCATTAAGAAAATATAAAAGGCAAGCCACAGACAGGAAGAAGCCACGCACAACGCCTATATCTGATGGAGTACTTATATCCAAAATATATAAAGAGCTCCTATAATTCAATAGTAAAAATACAAGCAAGTTACGAAAAAACAAGCAAAATATTGGAACTGAAAACTCACAAATAAGATGTGCAAATGGCCAGTAAGTTTACATAAATAGGTCCGAAGTCAAGAGAAATGCAAGTCAAAGCCACAATGAGAGACCACCTCACACCCACTGGGAGGGCTGAAATTTAATAAACAAAGCCTTGGCATATGTGAGGAGCCTCTGGGCTTCCACATATCACCAGTGGGAGGTGAAATGGCACAGCCACTTCAGAACACAGTCTGGCAGTTCCTTATGAAGGTGAACACTCACCTGTCCTATGACCCAGTCATTCTCCACTTGTGTGTTTACCCGGAGAAATGAGAACTTCTGTCCATACAAACACTTGTGTTCTTATGGTCTTAGCAGCATTGTTCATTATGGCCAAAGAATGGAAGCGGCCCAAATGCCTGCACTCCCATCCTGGGCCACACAGATGACAGAGCTGCATCCTGGCAGTGGGGATATGGGGGCGCCTGGCAGGCAGTGATCTAGGGCTTCCAAGCTCTACTCATGTGCACAGCTGGGCCGGCCCCGTGGCCCTGACATCCAGGCCTTGCTCTCTGGATTGGTCTCTGTGATCAGCACATTCTTTGCTCGAGTTTGCTCCCAAATATTTAAATATCCACCTGTAAGCATTTACGAGCTCACATTCTTAATTCAAATAACACCAGGTGCATGGATGTGGAGTACTGTGTATTCAAATAAATAGTCTAACAAATTCCAAATAAGTAAGTTGGCAAATTTGTTTCAAGTCATTAAGCAGATTACACAGTTTAAAGACTCAGAGAATTCATTACACCTTCAGTGCTTCCAGCAAAACTCAGCTGGCAGTGCCCCCAGGAAGAGTTGCATGCTCGAAGGCCATCCTGGGGCAGCGAGCACCCCGCCATCCCAGGGCCTGACATCCCCTTGCTGCCTGATCCTTGGACCTCCTGTGGCAGCCTGCTTCTGTCAAGCCACTCTAAGGATTTTGAGTCTTGCTTGTCTGTTCGGAGGAGATAGATTTCATAGACCAACTCCCAGGGCAGAAGGTGTTAATTGCTGGCACCCTGTCCCTCCCCTGGGAAGGGGAAATGACAGGGCAATTTTGTCCCGGTAAAGACACGCATGAAGTGGCACCGTTTCTGCTGAAGAGGAGTCCCCACGTGGTGCAAGCACCGCCAGCCCTCGTTCCCAGAGTGCACCACAGATCTCTGCCACCTCCAGCCACAGCCCTTGGTTCCTTACACACGAGCCCACCCTTCTGCTCCGCCCCTGCACCCTGCGGATAGGCAGCTCCGGTAGCCAGAGCGCACCCCGAGCCCCGGGCCAGGGGCCACCCGGGGCCCTGCTCCCCCAGCGCTGCAGCCGGGCTGGTGGTGGCCAGCAGCGTTTGCGCCCTCCTTGCTCAGTGTTGCTGCTAGTTTGTCAGCCTTGCCCCAAGGCGCTCAGAGGGAATGGGACGGGGACAGCTGGTCGGGCTTTGGAGGCCCTGCCCCCAGCCAATGAAGCCTGTCTTTGCCTGCTCTCTCCAGGAAAACTCAGCATAGCTCCCTGGACCAGAGCTCCCCGCCCCAGAGCAGTGTGTCAGCCTCCTACAATCACCCGGTCCTGGGCATGTATGACGCCAAAGACGACTTTCCTCTCCGTAAAACAGGTCAGTGTCCTGGCTTTGCTGTTGCCCTGGGGGGGACAGGTGGGGCTCTAAACGGGTGCCTCGCACTCCCCAGGTGCTGAGCCACTCTGAAATTCTGCATTCAGAGAGAGTATTCTCCTCTGGCTTTTAAGTATTTGCTTTATTTATTAGGGCATCATTTTAAAATGGATTTAATTCTCAGGCATCCCCTATCATTCACATCTCAGGCAGTACACCTCATATATGCACCCCTAATTTTTAAAACTCCAGCTCAAGTTTAGACAGCGTTCCGGTTTACTCCTCTTCTGTCAGTGTGCCGCACAGTGTTCCGGCCCAAAGCATCCCGCGGTGGGTGCATGGACACAGTAGCTCCTGGTAGTGGGCCTCCAGGTGGCCAGCCAGCCAGTCAGTGGGGGCCCCAACGCGAAGGGACATCTGTACGAGAAAGAAACGCACCGTGTCCTGCAGGCAGGCACCTCAGGGCTGTGGGCAGCGTCTGTTACGAGCCAGAGGGACAGGGTGTTCAGACGGGTGTGGCTCTCCTGGACTTTCTCCAGTGCTCATGATGGCCTCAGTGGGCAGTGGCTTTTAGGAAAGAGCAGCACGGCTGTGGGCAGTGCACGGGGATGGAGGGGCAGAGCCAGAGTGGGAGGGCCTTCTGGGGCCTTGTCCCCCTGGGTGTGGGCCTGAGCTGTGGCAGGCCTGGAGGGGGGCGTGCCCCGGTCCCAGGAGCAGCAGGCCGAGCCCGGGTGGCAGGGCGGCAGGGGCCCTGGGGCACACTGCTTCACGGAAATGAGGCCTCTGGCAAGGTTTTTCTATCATAAACACACATTTTGTCTTACCAAAATGCTTTAGAGCAGCTCCACATGGCTCTTCACCCTTGTGGTTAGGCACTGGGGCATGGGGCTGAGGCACCTGCCAGCCTGTCCTAATGTCTGAGAAGCCCTGGGGCCTCTCAGTAGGCAGAGCTGTGCCCGAGAGGACTCGGGGTGGCACACAGAGAGTGGACCCCAGACCCTGAACTGGAAGTTGGAGGAGGGCCTGACCAGCGTCCCAGGGGTGTGAGGGGCATTGCCCCATCAGTTAGCCATGGCACTGATGCTGGGCCCTGGAGCCTTGACCAGGGTGTTAGAGGGGTGGGCAGAGACCCTCCGAGGCAGCCGGAGGGTCCTGCAGACATGGGCAGGGCTCTGGTTTGGCTTGAAGCCCTTACTTGCTGAAAGTGAGTGCAGAGCTTGTCTTTTCTGTTTGAATGTGGGGTTCTCACCCCTGTAGCTGCCGAGAAGGGTCTCAGGTTTCACCAGAGAGAGCCTGCGGGCTCCATAGAAAGGAACCTGGGCCACGTCCCCTGAATTGACCCCTACACCACCCCCTTTTCGGGAGACGGGTGCTGGGTCAGCCACCCTAAATCAGCAAACGTGTCACGGTGAGCAGCAGGCACACTGCCCAGAGAGACACCCTGGGGCCCAGAGGCACAGAACGCACCTGCCCCAGGGCCCTGGTCCTGGAATGACAGGAGCAGGGAGCTACCCTCTCTCTGAGGGCATGAGGGGGTCGGGGGCAGAGGCCGTGGGCTCCCCGCTGGGCTTGGTCTGGATCTTCCATGAGTTCTGTGGCTCTCTGTGACAGGTCCCTGGTTCTCCTGGCCTGTTTCCCATCAGCAAAATGGGGCCAGATGCCCACTTCCTCCTGCCCTGGGTGCAGCCAGCATGGCACAGGAGGAAGCAGGGGGCTGAGGGCCTGGTCACCCAGCAGGGCCATCCACCTCTCGCTAAGGGCCCTTGCCATGCTGGAAAACACTTCCAACTCTTCTCCCTGGGGCCCCAGGGAAGGGCAATGATGTCACCTCCCCATCTGGCCCGAAGCAGCCCCCTGCATGTGCTCACACCCCCAGCTCCAAACAGAACACGGGCAGAGTGCTCACTGGGAATGGCTCTTCCCCTCAACCGAGCAAGCAAGGTCTGCCCACCCGGAGGCCGGCTCCTGTTAGGACCCACGGAACCTGGCCCAGAACACTGGCAGCAAAGGTCCCTGGAAGACTCCGGATGTGGACAGTGACCTCTGAGCCAGCCCCTTGACCCACAGGGCTAGGGGGCTATGATCTTTGTGCCCAAGGCCCTTTTGGTCTTGTTTCTGTGGTTGTGGCTCCGTGCTGGTCTGCTCTCCCACTGGGACTCCTGGAAGCAAAGCCTGAGGCACCGTTTGCCATGAACCTGGGGCCACAGTGCTGACCCCAGGCAAGCTTCCCTGGGAGCTGCTGGGCTCCTCCCCATACTTCGGGACGTGCTTTTGGAAATGCACAGAACTTAATTAAGAACTCATCCGCATTATTAAGTTTTTAAAAAGTTATCACTTGCACATTAATACTAATAATGTGAGGATTTCAGAGGAACTGTATAAGCACTTCAGGGAACAGTGTGCAGTCAGGTGTCCTGCATCCCCCCAGAGGCTTCTGCTCTCCCACTTGACGCTGCTGATGCTAAATGATTTACATCTGTGCATCTCTGCAGGCTCCATAATGTGAGATTTCAAAAAATGGAATTTGAGTTACAGAATGCTTTAAATGAATTAAATCAGTGATCTTTAGTAAATGTGATAGACACTTGAAATCCCATGATTTTGATTTCGCCCTAACTGATGCTGACCTTGCACACAGTTTGCCCACCTCTCTGGCTGATGGGCAGTCATACTATGTGCACACGTGTGAAGTGCGTGGCCACACTGTCGCCCGCACGTGCCTGTTCCTTGGGGGCCTGTGGGTGGCGTTTGCTCCTGCCCCGTCTCAAGAGAAGAGTGCCTGGACTCTCCGAGCCCTTGCCTCCTCGGGACCCGTCGGCGGGGCCCGGCTGGGCGGCGCCCCACTCCTCAGCTGCCATGTGGGGGAAGCTTCATGTGTCTCCTGGAGTTTTGCCAGCTGTAAGCACCCACCTGCCAGGACTGAGGGGTGACCAAGGCCACGTTTGCTGCGTGCTCAGAGGTGGCCTGGCTGCAGGGTCTGCTCCTGTGGGCCAGGCTGTTAGGAGGCCCTGGGCCCTTTCACCACCCAACCACCGATTTCTGCCAGACTGAGCACTCCCCGGCCATTTCCTCAGGGACCCCCTTGGGGAAGTCCGCGCGCGGAAACAAACTCCCGACATTCACAGCCAGAATTCACAGCCAGGTCTGGCCGGCAGGGTGCGCCCTGCTCTGCTGGGTTTCAGGACTCATGTCCCAGCTCCTGGCTGGTGTTCACCACCCGAGCACCCACCTGCTGAATCCAGGCGCCAGCCCGAGACCAGTCCCCACCCCCGTGATTGACAGAGGGCATCACCACCTCCCACTGGGATGTGGCCGGGCTCGTTGCCTCTACGGTGTGGAGCAGGTGAGGTGGCATCTGCCCCTTCGCACTGCTGCTCCTGGACCACCCGGAACAACCACCCCACTCTGAATTTCTGAGTATCTTCAGATTGAGGCATAAAGACATCCGGGAAGTGTCCCACATCACCGACCACCATGCCCCCTGACGTCAGCGGGCCACCGCCACTTGGCCAGCGCCTGCAGTCCAGCGAAGCACTGGAGTCCATGGCTGGGCTGGAGGGAGGGTGCTTTTCCACTTTTAAAAGCAAACTGAGTTTTGTCATATTCGGGGATTTTTTGTCTGGTAGCATCTTCATGTTAATGTGTTCTAAGGTATTAGCCGCTGTGAATTTTTTATGACTCTTAAATTGCCATCTTCTGTGACTTTTGATTAATGAAACAAGACAGGAACAAAACAAACCCTGTCATCACCCACCATCCTCTTCCCACATGCTGGTGGCAGCAGGAACCTCAGCCCTGGAAGCTGTGCCCTGCATGGCCCCCACTGTCCGGGGCAGCCTCGGAGGCTCCTCGGACACGGCATCCTGGCAGTGGACTCTCCCCCAGCAGGACACCGGGCCAGCTGGCCCCCGTGGAGATTGTCCTCCCATCGTTTGAGGAAGCACAGCCCAGCTGGTGCTCCTGAGGAGTCTCTCTCCTGGGCCCCGTGGAGAATCACCACACTGAGTGCAGGTGCAGCCCCCAGCCGGGTGTGACCTGGGGGCAGGCCGGGCCGGCTCAGGGCACCAAGGTCCCTATCGTCCTTGCACCAGTCTGGGCACTGGGCTGGAGACACTCAGCTGCCAGCCTGGATTCGTCCCCGTAGCAGGGGCCCCTCTGGCTCTTCCTTCTGGAACACCCACCTCGCTCTGTACCCCCTGGCCCTGATGGCCCGAGTCTGCAGCTGTTTCCAGGAAATGAGATGGGGGAAACAGGACGGTTCCCTTCTTTGTTGGGCGAGGCAGAGCTCTTAGGGGAGGCCAGCCCTCACCTTCCAGTGCCCTGGGAAGGCAGCCTGGCTGAGCATGCTTGCCCATCGGTAAGGTACTGTGCGGTGACTTCCAAGGGTGTTCAGTTGATTGCAGACCCGTGACTGTACCGCCTGCATGATAGGCAGGTTGGAGGGGGCGGGGTCAGGATGTGTGGCTGCAGAGCAGGAGGCGGAGCCTGGTGCCTGGTGGGGCGGGGCCTGGGTGGGGGCTCCCCTCCCCGTTCCCTGTGGGTCTCCCTCCCTGTCTGTGTCCTGTCAGTGGTGTACCTGTACTGCCATCAGAGTGCTTGTGGGTCATCACATTTCACCTTTTTACCCAGTCCAGTCACTGAAAATCCCCCTGACTCTCCCGTCATGCTGCGCGGGGAGCAGTGGCACTCATGGTTCTTCCCACAGCCCCCAGTGCCCCAGAGCAAATTCCATGATGGGGAGAGCACGCGTGCCCATTAGCAGCTGGCAGGGACCCTCGTGGATGCTGGGCCTACCCACCATGCCCACTCCCAGTAAGCTGGGATCCAGATTTGGTTTCCCCGCTGTCCCAGGAGGGCCTAGCAAGGCCTGTCTCCCTAGGGTGCTGCCTCGGCAGTGCGGAGGGCCCGAGCCAGAGCAGCACAGGCCTCCCTGCCTGTTTCCCTGCTGTACTTGGCATTTGCTGAGCACGCCCCGGGCCCTGCGCCACCAGAGCAGGTGAGGA